AGTTTGAGTCTCACTGTAGCCCAGACTGCAGTGCAGTGGCACGCTGCTCATGGCCACTGCAGCCTGGACCTGCTGGGCTCAGGCAATCCTTCTACTTCAGCCTTCCAAGAAGCTGGAACCACAGGTACATGCCACCACACCCGGCTAATTATTTTTATTTATGCAGAGACAAGGTCTCACACCAAATTGCCCAGGATGGTCTTGAACCCTGGGCTCAGGTAATCCTCTCGCACCCCCCCCCAAAGTGCTGGGATTACAGGTGTGAGCCACCGTGCCCAGCTCAAGGTTAATCTTTATTCCTGAAGACTTTGTTAGCCTACCAAATTTCTACCACATTTCAACCACTCTACATTTAACAAATAAAGCCCTCATAAAATCCTTATAGCTCTAAGAAATAGATTTTGTAAATTATTTGAAATTACTGTCAACATTTTATTTGAAGTTGAAATTTTTTATTCAGGTGTGCTTGAAATGGATTATCTGGACATTTATTACTGCATCTGCTCCAAAATGCAGGACTACTAATAATTCACACAACAGAAAAAGAGAATGTTTGGTCCTGACCCTTGATAAATCATAACAGATAATTAGCCATTGCCCATACTTAAGGGAATTGTATTGTATTTGAAAATGAGCTGATCTCTGTTGTTTCTTTCCTAAAATGAGCCTCCAGTCTAAAAACAAAATGATTCAAACACAAATGCCAAGTTATATTTATGTCAAGCAAACAAAAAGCTATAGGCAGACCATCAACAAAGACAAAGCCCTTCTCTACTGAAATCCTGTCTTTTTAAAATATTTATAAAATATTTACTAAAAATAGAGATAAGGTCTTGCTGTGCTGCCTAGGCTGGTCTCAAAACCTAGGCTCAAGTGATCCTCCTGCTTTGCCCTCCCAAAGTGCTGGGATTACAAGTGTAAGCCTCTGCACCCAGCCTCCTGTCTTACTTAAGCATAAAAGAGGCTCTTTCTGAAATGTTGTCTTTAGGTCACAGAGCTTAAAAATGAGCGCTTTTTTTTTTTGAGTTGGAGTCTCAGTCTGTCGCCCAGACTGGAATGCAGTGGACGCTTCCGCAGCCTTGACCTACTGGGCTCCAGCAATCCTTCCGCCTCAGCCTTCTGAGTAGCTGGAATTACAGGCACACGCTACCATGCCTGGCGGACTTTTTGATTTTTTTTTTTTTTTTTATTGTAGAGATGAGGTCTTGCCAAGTTGCCCAGGCGGGTCTCGAACCCGCAGGCTCAAGCAATCCACTCACCTCCGCCTCCCAAAGCGTGGGATTACAGGCTGAAAAGTGAGCCCTTTTTTTTTTTTTGAGTTGGAGTCTCACTCTGTCGCCCAGACTAGAGTACAGTGGCATACTCATGGCCACTGCAACCTCAGCCTGCTGGGCTCAGGTGATCCTTCTGCCTCAGCCTTCCAAGTAGCTGGAACCACAGGCATGCACCATCACGCCCAGCTAATTTTTCTTGATTTATTGTAGAGACAAGGTACTACTAAGTTGCCCAGGCTTGTCTCGAACCCCTGAGCTCAGGCAATACTCTCACCTCGGCCTCCCAAAGTTCTGGAATAACAGGCATGAGCTACTGCACCTGTCCTTACAATAAGCCCATTTTTGAGTAGTCATTAAAGGATATAAAAATAAAACTTGCAGAGTTAGACGAGAGGATTGCCTGAGCCCATGGGTTTGAGACCAACTTGGGCAACTTAGCAAGACCTCGTCTCCACAATAAAAAAAAAAAAGGCCGGGTGTGGTGGTGCACCTGTGGTTCCAGCTACTTGGCATGCTGAAGTGAAAGGATCACTTAAGCCTAGCAGGTCAAGGCTGCAGTGTCTGTGAGCATGTCACTGCACACCAGCCTGGGTGACAGAGTGAGACTCTGACTAAAAAAAAAAAAATGTGCAGAGTTAACCACTGAGATATATAGTCCTCTGTAGTTTAGGGGATTGGGTCCAGGACCCCCCACAGATATCAAAATCCATGGATACTCAAGTCTCTTATATAAGATGCTATAGTATTTGCATATAGGCCAAGTGAGGTGGATCATACCTATAATCACAGGACTTTTGGGAGGCCAAGGTGAGAGGACTGCCTGAGTTCATGGGTTCGAGACCAGTCTGGGCAATTTGGTAAGATCTCGTCTCTACAATAAATAAAAAATAAGCCAGGTGTGATGGCACGTGCCTGTAGTTCCAGCTAAAGTATTTGCATATAACCTATGCACATCCTGCTGTATACTTTAAATCATCTCTAGACGACTTACAATACCCAATACAACTGCTATATAAATAGTTGTTAGATTGTATTGTTGAGACTATTATAACCAAAAAAATGTCTGTATATGTTCATTACAGACACACCATCTACTTTATTTTTCAAATATTTTGCCTTCGGTTGGTTGAGTCGGTGGATGCAGGACCCACAGGTAAGGAGGGCTGCCTGTACGTAGTCAAATACGTCATTCTAAGCTTCCTTCCTTCTTTTCCCGTCTTATATCTCTAGCACTATTCCGAGATATATCTCTATTCCGAGTAGTTCAGAAGTGCTCCACACATGGTTACTAAATAAATTCATAAATGAATGATGGATAATGCATAGTATTTTTTTGTTATCAAAAATAGCCAGGTTAGAGTCCAGGCATGTTGGCTCATTCCTATAATCCCAGCACTTGGGGAGGGAGTCTGAGGTGGGAGGACTGATTGAGCACAGGAGTTAGAGACCAGCCTAGGCAACATGACAAGACCTTGTCTCTACAGAAAAATTTCAGTATTAGCCAGGCATGGTGATGCACACGTAATCCCAGCTACTCAGGAGGCTGAGGCAGAAAGATCACTTGAGCCCAAAAGGTTGAGGTTTATAATCCCAGGGTGATAGTGCCACTGCATCCAGTCTGGGCACTGGTCTCATTCTAGACCAGTGCACCCCAATGTGGGCAACAGAATGAGACCCTTGACTCAAAAATAAAATAAAGTAGCCAGGCTTGAGTACGAGGGGAGACCCCAAAAAACTGGAATTATCTTTTGGAGGACGAGCCCCTTGTAGTATACTTGGAAATTGTTCCTCCAGACCAGTCAACCAAACTTCTTTGTTTTTTTGTTGTTGTTTTTGTTTTTTTCGCTTTTTTCCCCAGCTTGTGTATTTACTGTGATGTTCTTATAGCTACAGGAAACAACAGGAATTTTTCAGTTCCATTAACTTCTTATGGGACCAGCATTTATATATGTGGTCTCACTGAAGCATTGTTATGCTATGCATGACTGTATA